TATATATCTAACGTATGTACCTGTGTAAACAATGGTACGTAAGCAAGTGTAGATCTATCAGTAAGTTTTGCCTACTTTAAAGCGTGTAACTGTCGTTGGTTTCTCGGGAGATCTGCATGCAGTAACATTCACGTATTTCTGAGCAGGATTCGGATTCATTGACTCTCTTCAATCGTACCCAAACTATAGCCAATCCAAAAATCACAGCTCACAATCATTTTTAAAGCCAGCTTAATCAAATAAGCTCCCAGAAACATATCATGGTCATCTATTTTACCAGTAAATTTACTAACTTGTTGTTGATTTATTCCTGATGAAATTGTAACCAGTCACAGCATTGTTCGTATGTCCTTAATTGATTGATTGTATTTTCTGCTCCAATTCCAATTAAACTTTTCACATGCAACATCAAAAATATGTTCAACTTGAAGTACTGTGATTTTTCCTTTCCCAATCAGTTCATAGTTATTTACAGCATTCAATAGTTTACAATCTACGCAATCCACGGCCTTACAACGAATGTATGGGCCCTAACAGCACTCAACTATGCTGAAGTGAAAGTCAGAATCTTTCCCATGAAAGCTAAGAGGTATAGAGAACCCTTAACAGATTATAACGAAACGTCTCCCTTCCAATAGATATACGAGGAAAATTATCTATGACTGGACAAACACTTATTCGAATCTTGTTCCTGCCCATATGTAACAATATAACAAACCATACAACATATCAGTCAGACTTACTTAATTCCTCTTCCTTCCAATAAATGCATAGGAATATACAGCACTCCCCGCTGAAGAATATTCCGTGATCGGCATCAGGAACACGAAACAATTTACCCTGGACAAATCTGCACAGACAGGTAGACGTAGTCAAAGTCAAATCAACTGTGCGGCTTAACAACCAAAGTAAGGTCCATCTCTATAGTGGTGTAGCGTACGCGTACAAACAACAGTACTATTGATGAGGTGTACACATACAAGTTCGTATATATACTGAAATCTGACATGCATCTCATGCGACACTCAAAACAGTCCACATCGATTCAGGACCTATCCAAGTATGGAGCTGACCAGAGCACCAAGCTAGATCTATAATTGACATATGGTATGAATCTAAAATACCAACATCAATTCATATCCCGAATAAGGTCTAGATCCTATTGTCAACACCAGCTTGGACACCAATTCTGATATACGAACATACGAACCTGAATACCAGCATGGATTCTAAATCGTAGTTGTAATTGGACATGGTTTGCAGTGCATCTGCGTCATCCATCTTCAAAAGCTCTCGACGAAACAGTGCTTGAATATTAATATTTGGTTTATCCTCAGTTGGTTTCCACAATCCGAATGGTGGCGTAATCGACCGTGCCTGGTATACTGTACTTATTAATATAT